CCACCTCACAACAAATCTATCTTGCTAACATCAGCATTTTCTGCAAGACAGGAGGAATATGGAATCCTGACAAAAAGATACCCTTGCATGACTTTTAGGCCACCCTTAGCTAAGCCTCTGTTGAAAAATTTCCCAAATAGAAAAAGAAAGGGGCAGCAAGTACTGGTTAGAAGTTTTATCCAACCAATTATTTAATAGTTTAATAGCAGTTCATTCTGACAAAGAATATTAAAATTTCCCATGCTTCTGTTACCAAATAGCTGGACTCAAATCACTCTTTTAAAGAACAATTCAAGATCCTCATTTCTTTCTCTAAGTGAGCCAGTATTTGCCAATATTCAAAAAAAGAGTGTTTCAATGGAGGGTAAAAGTGAACATTTCAGAATTTTAAGTTACAGAAAGTGGGGGAATAAAATGGAAATACTTATCCTGCCCCCCTCCCCCAAGAACAGGCACACAAACCATGCCTGCTAGAGACTGTATTGCTTCACTGTGGACAGGTGAGGTGTGTAAGAGTAGCAATACATGAAGCACCACTTATGCAGCTGTTTCTTGTCCTGTCTATTAATCAATACATACAAAAGTTTGATGGTAACTCTTGCATACTCATCTAGAGCCCTGGATCTGGACATACTCAAATTAAAAGGTAGAACAAGATATTAAACTCTTGCTTTAGAAACCTAGCTGTTATTATTAACATTTAAAAAAAAATAAATTTTATGTTCACATAAAAAACTTATTTTTCTCAACACAGCTGATACATAGACCTCAGCTGAGTTCTCTCAGACTTTTATTCATAGCACAATGGAATTTTTTTAAGAATAGTAGCCTGCGACTATCAACTGGACAATTGTTTTTAAGTAGTTTAACATCAGCCATCATTCACAACTACAGCCTACACTTTCTAGTAAATCTCTCCCACATTCTGAACAGAGAACCTCACGCAGAAAAACGAAACCAATATTCCCTCAAATTTTCAGTGACAATTCCTGCCTTTGGCATAGCTCTTGCAGATACACTCTATAGCCTGAAAGTCATAGAATCATAGAATCATTTAGGTTGGAAGGGACCTCCAAGATCATCAAGTCCAACCACCGAGCCACCAGGGCTCCAAAGTCCTCTGCCAAAACAGATCAGAATCTGTCAGGGTTGGAAGGGACCACAAGGATCCCCCAGTTCCAACCCCTCTGCCATGAGCAGGGACACCTCCCACTAGATCAGGCTGCCCAGAGCCTCCTCCAGCCTGGCCTTAAAGACCCCCAGGGATGGGGCCTCAACCACCTCCCTGGGCAACCCATTCCAGGGTCTCACCACTCTCATGGGGAAGAACTTCGTCCTTCACTGTTGGGATACTCTCTGGCAGTGGAAGCATCAGTTCTAGTCTTTCCCTCTGACCAACACTTCGGTTGTATGCTGCAGGTACAGCAGTTTGGTCAACAGTCCAATTACCTCCAACTCAAAGACAGAAATGAAGTTGAATGGAAGCTTATCTAGGCAAAACAACCGATCTCCCACATGTGATCAGAGTGACTGGTATAAAGGTTCTGCTATGTCTGCCATAGCATGGTACTGCTGAAAAAATTTTACAAGAAATAAGTACTTATTTTCTCATGCTATTATTATAGATGAAGCACACTACCCTCAACAGGAATAATCACCAGAGAAACTGGATGAACTGTGGGAACACTGTTCTAGAAAGTCTCTAAAAAGACTAAAGAGTTTAGCTAATCAAAGCCTCTGTCAACACACAGACTTCTCCTATAAAAGCCTCCAAATTCTTTGTCATTTCTATTTCTTTACACAAGATCACAGAACTTTCACCACAGGATGAAAGCAGCACAACTGCAGCTTCATGCAGTGCTAGTACTGGAGGCCTCACCAACTCTCAGTGAAGTTGAACAGCAAACATATGATAGGTACTTCTAGCAGCAAAACAGGCTTGAACAGGGATGGACTGTGTAACCATTCTTGGGAGCAATGTGAAGATTTCTAATTTATTTCCACTCATTACCTTTTTTCATGGTTTCCAACGCTCTGAAACATTCATTTCTGTTTTCCATCCAAACCCTATATCTGTTTCTGTTCTTATTACTTGTGTCTACTCAAAGAAGCACTCAACATCAATAGTTTTTCCCTGTCTTCATCGAGTAACTGAGAGGCACTGAATTCAAACCCAGAGAAAACTCTTGTCTATCCTTTTTATCACTATGATGAGCTAAAACACGAAATGCTCAAGAGTTGGAAGTACACATCAGTGTACTATTAAAACTCTTCTGTCCTGTTTGTTCCCCCCCAGAAAAGGAAAACTAAGGATACTAACTGGGCAGTTTCGCAGGTCTCCCATAGTGCTGGCGTTCTGTAGCAGCTCTCCAAACATATCTGGAGTGGGTTTCTCTCGTCTCTCCAGCATACAAATAGCTTGATTGCTTCAGTACAGAGAACACATGGAAACCAGAAGGTCAATGTTAAAATAAAAACACAAAGCCACATTAAGTGAGTCTGTTGCACTTAAATTTTGTGAAAATTTAAGAACCTTAAAATACACACTTTTAAAATTTAATACTGTAGTACAGAAAATTAGATAATTAAGTGTGAATTACCACACCTTCCATTGTAATACTGCATAAAGAAAACATGTAAATTTTAAGACAGACTACAAACTGTTCCTATTTTAAGTTTTACATCTTAAAAGCAAGCTTTAGCATTTTGACAAACACTTGATTTCAAAATGAAATATTAGCTTCAAAAATGCTTCCCTTCAGTAACCACAACCCTAGTAAAGTAGCACAGTAAAGCACATTCTTAATAATAAAACTATAGACAAAATCAGGCAAAAATTGATTTCACTGTCCAAAAAGATGTTTCAGAAAGAAAGATGACAATTGGTATACAAGGATACTAGTGCTCAAAGCACATTCAGGTTTAAAAAGATTTGAAGTAAATCTATCATTGTTTACTGCTGTTTTTAAAATAAACTGTGACTAAAGATGTATTGAGATATTTAATGTAAAATACTCAATACCATTTCCATAATCCTTTTCCTGATTTTCTAACAAATAATATCCTGGTACACAGTGTCTGCTGTTAACCTAAAGAAAGTTACAGCTCATTGGAAGAGCAGGTACCAGCCACAAGGGGGAATGCTTTACAATACTCCTGATGCACTGGTAAAGTGGTAGTTTTTAGCAGAAGTTGGCATGAGAAGAGCAACTAGCATTTTTCAAGACAACCTTTTCAGACTCTTTAACTACATATCTTTGCTTCCTGTCCCACATCTCAGACAAGTTTTCACCCCAATCAAAATTTCCAGACCAAAGTGAATAATGGACTCCTGCCTGGATCAGATTTAAGCAACTATTAGCTGAGCAGATGCCTCTGAAAAGAAAATGCCTACTAAAAGAGAATGCTTCTCTCCCTAGCATTCATCCAAACTCCTACATTGCTAGAGCTATTGCTCTGTGCACCATCTCCTTTAATTAAAGGACATGGTGACCAAGAGAGCTCCCCAATAACCACAGAAAGCAAGAGCTACATCCACCTAAGAAAGAGGACTGAGGAACTATAAACTGGCCAGTCTCCCTTAGTGCATAAGGCAAGGACAGACCAAATCCCCTTGGAAATCATCTCCAGGCATATTAAGGACAAAGTGAGTCAGAGAAGCCAGCAAGGATTTACCAAGAGCAAACTATGCCTGATGTACTTGATTATCTTCTATCATAAAATGATAGGTTCTGTTGAGGAAGTGAGAGCAGTGAGTATCATCTGGTCTCCAGCAAGGTTTCCAAGTAATCTACAGCATCCTTGTGGCCAAAACTGGGAGGTGTGGACTGCACAGGTAGAACACAATGCAGACAAAAACCTAGCTGGCTTCAGGCTCAGAGGATCAAAACCTAGCCAGAAGTCAGTTAAGAGTTATGTTCCTTAGGGGTTAATACTGGGGCTGATGCTATTTAAAATTTTCATTAACAACCTGGATGATGAGTCAGAATACACACACAAAGTTTACAGGTGACATCAAACTGAATGGAGCAGTCCATATGCAGAAAGGCAGTGCTACCATGCAGAAGGATTTTGACAGGTTGGGAAGAACAGGCTGACAGGAAGCTCATAAAATTCAGCAAAGGAAAACACAAAGTCTTGTGCCTCAGACAGTACTGCTCAGTGCAGCAGTACTGCCAGGGCAATGAATGGCTGAGGAGCAACAACTGCAGAACACTTGCAGGGAAGTCTAACACAAGCCAGACACTTTGCAGACATGAACAGAGAAAGGACAAGAGGCAAAAGATGCAGAAACTGAAATTCTGGTTGGATACAAGGAGAAAAAAAAAAAAAATCACACCGAGTAGTTAAGCACTGGAGAAGACAGCTCAGGGAAGTCACAGAATTTCTGTCCTTGAATGTTTCCAAAACTCAGCTGCACAAAACCCTAAGCAGTCTCATCTAGATTTGAAGCTAGCCCTGCTTTGAACAGGAGGATAGAGTAAATGTCCAAATGTCCTTTCTGGTATAAATGTTTTTTTATTTTTCTTATCTTGCTCTAACTCACCTGCTCACATATTAAGGTCTTTCAAAAAGTACACAACTCCTTACCACTACAGTTGCCAGATTCAGAATCATAAAAAAGTGGACACACTGACCCATGCCTAAACTGATATCTTCTGCTCCACTAAATTTTCATGTTCTTTATCACAGTTATCAAAGCTCCACCAATTTCGAATAAACCACATTCTGGACATTTTATCTTGTGAAGGTAAAGATCAACCTGCAATACCAGTAAAAAAAAAAAAAAAGAAAAGTTCTCTTCCCTGTAAAAATCTAAACTCACCAGAGTGAGGTTGTGGAAATATAATGTACCATCTGGATGAAAGGTAATGGGTCAGAGGTGGCACCACAGCTGGTACAAACACACTAAAGAGAAAGAAAACATAACACATTGCAATAATACATTACAAGATTAAACAGGTATTCCTGCTTGTATCTTTTTTACCATGGCAATTCTTGTCTTAGGAATGAAAATTTGATACTTAAGAACTGGTGATTTGTAAAAGTATACATCGTTATCTCACCTGTTCAAACAAGGTCATGGCAAACTTCTGATGGGAAACACAGTGTGATGCAGTGCAAATATCTTCCTTTGTCTCATCTGCAATGTGGAAGTGAATTCGCATTAACAGGTTTTCCTAGCCAAAGAGAGGAGAAAAAAGCAAAAAAGCATTACATCATCCAAATGCAGACAAAAGTTAAAATATAAACCACAAAAGCATGTCATATGCAATAATGCTATAAGTGTTCTTTACAGAGATGGAAGACGCCTGTAAATTTGATGAAGGTGCTTAGAAAACAAGTTGGCATTTCTTTCATATAATAGAAAATGGCCACCACTTCCAAGGAAATGTCAGGTTGTATAAACATTTGTTTTATTTACTAGAGCAGCTAAAGGTTCTATCACCAATTATCCTGTCCAATTCTCAAGCATCAGTGGATTTAACTAAATGTAACAGGCAGAGCAGCTCTGCAGTTTTAAAATCACTGGGTTGCCACTAACTTCTCATCAACAAAAAAGTAACCCAAATTAATTTCCATATTCCAGAAAAGCTTTGAAATACAGCAAATAAGCTACATTCTAGCAGAAAGGGGGAGACCTAATAAACAAAGAGCAGACTAAATTCTGCATGAAAAAAAATTAGCCCTGACCCCATACAGTTTCCCTTGAATTTTAGAATCTAAGCTCTTCTGCCATTTAAATTGAATTTCTGCCTTTAAGGGCTGAAAAGATTAACTACGGGGAAAAAAAAAGTATGGTATCATCTTTGCCTCAAAGCTTAATCTCAGAAGGGAACCTGTACCCATTTCAGCTGTCCTTGTGCCAGTACAGTAGTTAACCTAAAAATCCTGCTTCTGGGGACTCCCCACAGTAGTACCAGATGGGCTATTCAGATTAGCTTTCTCAAGGAAGAAACTAAATGAAAAGTTCCCACGTTCTGCTACATACAGACCTCTGTTCAAGTGCTGGACTGCATACAAAGATTTGCCATAACTGCATTTACAGGGGCTCCTGTGTAGGGTGATGTAACTCATTTCACTTTGAGGCTTTATTGGTATGATATTCTTCCATTTTAAGTGAGCTCATTAAATTATACCATTTTGCTATACTAGTATTCCACAAACAGGATATTTTGGCTTATTGTAAGCCCATTATCAGTCTACTTAGTTTAAGAGAAGAACTATAACAGCTATATATATTTACCCCATTTCTGTGATCTGTAAGTATAGGAAATGAAAGATTTAACCTATAGAAAGGACCCTGCTCTGACAGGTGCTTCACCCAAGAGAAGTTTACCTTGCAGTAGTATATCCAGTATATTTGTACTTTGGTGAAAGTTTAACATCTTTGTTAACAATCAAGTAGGATACACACACACTTGAGCCAACACTATGGACACAATCTTTTCCAAAAAGGGGACCAGCCAATAGATCAGTGAGACAAAAACACCTCTTAATTATGCAAAAGACATTTAGAAGACACAAGAAGTAAAAGGAGGCAATGTGAGTAAAAAATAGTCTTAATGTAACAGATATTGAGAAAGAGTTTCAGTATAAAAAGAAAGCAGGTGGATAAACCTAGGGATGCAAGATGTGTGTAAAAGCCATCTCCCAGCCACACTGGTGAGATAACCAGTCTAAAGAAATATTGTCAGATGGATTACAAATACAGTGACTTACACATCTGCAGAAGATCCATTTTGCTGTTGCTTACCTCAACTTACAAACAAACAACTATGCTGGGTTGAGCTTGGTTTATTTACTTATTTTTACTGTCACTTAACTGGAGTTTGTGAAAACATTATTACAGAATAGCTGGCAAACAAAATGCCCTTTTGAGGTGATCTGTAAAACCAGACAATAGCTGGCAAACAAAACGCCCTTTCACCCTTTTGAGGTGATCTGTAAAACCAGAATCCTGGATCATTCTTGCAGTGCTTTTTTTTTTTTTTACAATTCGTATTTCAAGACACTTGCAACTGCAAGCATTACATATGCAAAAGTAACTCTAAAAATGGTACATATGCAAAAGTAACTCTAAAAATGGTAACATGGATGTTTCCATTTCAAAATCATTACTGATGATTCTTAAACCAAACAGTGGTTCCCCACTAGATCCCCCCACTTCAAGCTTTGGGATCTATGGACTTTCTGAGGCCACACACCAAAACCTGTTAGAATCTGGGAAGGAATGGAGAGGGGAAAAAAAAAAAAAAAAAAAACACAACAAAAAAAGGGGAAAAAAAAGATTACACAGTGAGGTTTTCCACCTATGCCTGTCAAACCATCTTTCAGTTGTACTCACGAAACATTCAGCAGCATCATCCATGATGCCCAGCTGGAAGCGTTGCTCATCCTGGAAGGTCTTGGCAAGAGCGGTGCGCAGGGCATCAGAAGGCAGCACCTTCTCACTGCTACACTGGAACTGGTTGAAGATGCCCTAGCAAGAAAACAAAGACCATTAAGTTACAATGTTTTCAAAACATTAATTTATGTAAAAACAAAACCCAAGCCTTTAGTTGCTTTGACCAAGCACCATACAAGTATCTCACACTGATACACACTTCCGTCCTTTAACTGTTGGTATTTGTTTCTTATCAGGAAACAAGCAGGGAAAGTGGGAGCAGGTCTGCCAACTTGTGCAATCTCAGCTGCTCTGAAGATGCTGAAAGAGCACAGAACAGCTGTCACTGCACAGCCAGCAAACCAACCCATGTGCTCCTGCCATTTCTGGCCATAGGAATGGTACAATATGTAGTGCTGACCTATTAACTAACACAGATTGAAAATGTCCATCTCTCTTTAAGGCCATGTTATTTGGGTAGTCTTTATGGTGCTCATTCATGGGTAAGGGCCCACCGTACTGAAGCCCATAGTTCTTCCAATATGGCATTTATTATAATATCAAATAATGATGAGGAAAGTGGTAATAAAGAGAAGGCTGTGAGGCAGTAGTTGTAATATGTACATTAAGTAGGTAATTTGCAATTCATTTAATGAATTACAAAAAATACCTCTCCTCAGTTACCTTTTATATATCTATAAAAAAAGGAAAGAATTAAAGTATCTGTACTTAACCACCTTAATTCCCATTTTTGTTACTCTGATAACAGAGCAAGTTTCATGTTTCATTAGTACATTTTCTCATTTCAGTGGACCTCAAAAGAAATGAAAAAACAATGAAACAAATTATTTAAAATAAAGTGCTGAAGAAGGATGGAACTAAGAGCACTTGAAAATATTAATGACTGTGCTTTAGAAATGTGTTTATTCTGGTTATCAATCTCATTTCACAGGTCTGCCAAGCAAGCACCCTCTCAGTGACTGGCACACAACCTCAACCTAGGCAAACTAGGTAAAAGCAGAATCAAGCAAGTAAACCAAACACCTTATTTTTAATGTCCATGGTTAAAGAAATAGTATATTTTACTCTTATGTGTGAAATACTTACTAGTTAAAGACATTCACTCAGAAAAATTGTTCCTGGTTATTATAAGCGACTGTTTTTCACAAGATCCTGCATATTGATATTTTTTGCATCACAAAATAATTACAGCCTTCACAATTAAAAGCAAAACCCTTTCATTAAACAGCAGAAAACTGAGAAGTTACCAGAATCACTGATCAGAAATAATGCAGTAACATCAAAGAATTCTGTGAATAATTCTAATATGCAAAATCAAGGAGTAAGAGATCCCAATATTAAACAGAATGATTCCTAAAATTTGTAATGACATTTGCACACAGTGGCATAGTCTTATTTAGATTACATGAGGGGCAAAAAAAAAAAAATAACTAATCAGAAAACCACTGAGTAATTGTACATTTTAATCTAATAAAGATCAAATCTTATCATGTCATTGCACAGTGCCCACAGGAAGTCTCAAAAGCCTCAAATGGGAGTAAAAACCACTTTGAACACAGACCAGGGGCTGGTTTTCTTTGGGTTTTAGGTCAGTGGTTTGAGTTGAGTTTTTTTTGAGGGGATGGGGTGGTTTCTCCTCTTCTCTATTTTTCAAGATAGGTTCTTTGCTCACCTTCAGAACAGGTCTTTCTTGTCTCTCAGCCTTAGATGGACAGGTGTGGCACTTCCTGCAGTTTCTTCACTACAAGTTATCTAAATCAAATCTCTCTCTGTAATTTTAGGTCTTGCCCTTGAGTGATACTGTTAGTCACTAACATTTTTTCCATATACAGGTCTGAAAGCCAGCTGAGCACAGACAAGGAGAGCTCTGCTGATCCTGCCCCAGGAGTTTTATGACACCTTTTTCTCCAAGTACTTCTGAAACTTAATGAGAACTTCTATATGAAACAATGAAACTTTGTTGTCTTTCAAAAACTTCACCTTAATTTGAAGGTAGTGAAAACCCCATTAGTGTATTCACCACAACAATGAGTTCCCTCAATGGCTACATTCCAAAACAGATGAGCACGTCCTCAACAGCAGCAACAATATGAAAAGACACTGTTAAAAACTTCATAAACAAAGGAAGTCTCTCCTATTGTCGCATCTACCAGTTTTCAGTAATTAAAATCAAGGATACAGAACCAAAAAAAACCCCAAACCCCAACCTCATATATTAGCTTAAAATAAAATCTGAACAACTACTAATACTGAATTAGCAGCAGTACTCTGATTTCTACACTGATTACCTATTTTTGGCACATGGCTAAGTGTATGAGCCAAGACAGAGAACAGCATGAGCAAGGGATTTTTCAGACAGGAAGTATGCCTTCTGCATTCCTGAGGTCTACATAAAAAAAAGTTCATCTCCCTCCATATCCCCTTCCCTACAGATTTTCAAAGGTCTGGAAAGAGTCGCAGACAGCGGAATTAGAAAGCACAAGTGCTCTTTAAAAGGAATAAATGGCCAAAGTCCATCTAGTTCCTCCCCAAGTACTACATCAAGATCAACTACAATTACAGTTGATCTTTCACCAGCTTGCTCTCAGAGGCACCCAAATTTGGAAAATCCTTAACCATCCCAGGCAATCTATGGTAGGGTCTCACTTGGCTTATCAACATTCAGAAGGCTTTTCCCTTGTTTGGTAACTGGAAGCTTTGTGTCCTTTCAACTACAGGTCTGGACTTCTGATATATGTGAGAACAAAGGCTTGCGGTCGGGGGTCTTCCAAAACAATCTCCTCTGGTTTGAGATGTGTGGAGACCAACATAAACTTTCTAAACCTTCAAAGGAAAACAACCTAAGGTTTAAGACAATGAATATTTATCCGCAACTATTCAAGTTAAAACCTGGCTTTCTATTTCAGAATGCTAAAATTCACAGGCATGATCATCAAACAAGATTTCCCCCTTTGGTTAGAGAATAAAGATAGCAATTATTCTTTGAGGCAATTAATGAGATTGACATTTTTGAGTTCTTTTAAAGATCGGGAAACTGAAGTATCTGTGAATCCCCCACAGTTCACAAGAACTGCTCCAAATTATCTTTAGGAGTGCTTGGAATGCATTTTCTCCCTAGGAGGGATGCATTCAATTTAATTGGGGCAAACTAACCACGCCGATGGAACCAACCCCAGGTACGACACACATGCACAGATGACGTCCCAACCAAGCCCATACAAGCAGACTGGCATAAGAATAAACTGACAGCTGAACACAACAGGCAACAGCTACTGAATTAGATCAGTGTCCTTGCACTGTAAATTCAACTTCTGTCCTTGGCAGCTTTCTGAGAACCAATTATTCTCTTCCAGCATTGTGCAAGAAGTTCCTGCTGGATGAGGATATCACTGCAGCTGTAGTGGGGTGGTATTTCTTTCAAAGAACAAAACAAGCTTCCCTCAAATCCTTTAGTATTCTCTATATTAACAGTTTCTGCCTTTTAGCAAAAGCTGCAAATATTAGTATTGCCAATTCTCATCCTTCTCCCTCTGCTGAATGTATGCTTGCTGTAACTCTTTTTTTTTTTTTCTTTCACTTCCCAATGCAACTGCATGGTCTTTTTATTCCATTCATTGGAATTTTTCCCCCTTGTCTACTGTACCTAATCTCTCATCCAGAACATCACACTGTTCCTAATGCAGCCTCTTAGTGAGTACAGTAACCTGTTTCAATAGAAATTCTGGCTCCTACAATCATTTTTCTCCTATTCAACATCAGCCTCCATCCACAGTCTGCAAATATTAGCATTGCCAATTCTCATCCTTCTCCCACTGCTGAACGTATGCTTGCTGTAACTCATTATTGTTTTTTTTTTTCTTTCACTTTCCAATGCAACTGCATGGTCTTTTTATTCTATTGCCAATTCTCATCCTTCTCCCTCTGCTGAATGTATGCTTGCTGTAACTCTTTTTTTTTTTTTCTTTCACTTTCCAATGCAACTGCATGGTCTTTTTATTCCATTCATTGGAATTTTTCCCCCTTGTCTACTGTACCTAATCTCTCATCCAGAACATCACACTCTGTTCCTCATGCAGCCTCTTAGTGAGTACAGTAACCTGTTTCAATAGAAATTCTGGCTCCTACAATCATTTTTCTCCTATTCAACATCAGCCTCCATCCACAGTATTTCCACTAGACCACATTTCTTCCCCACAGTTCCTCATTTTATATTTGCCTTCAAGGTTGCAAATAATTCTAGCATTCTTTGGTTCTGTGATTTTAGATCTCTTTCCAAACTTCCTCTAGTCTGATCACAATCAATCCAGATTTACATTATTCCTTTATTTTACAGTGTCTCTTCCATTTTTATTTGCAATGTGCCCTAAGCGTTAACGTAAGGTCCCCAATATGGACATGAAGTCAGGCAACCACACCAAAATTAAATAAAAATATTTTTTTCTGTGAGTTTTGTTTAGGAGGGCATCAAGAAAAAACAACTCACATCACAGTGCTCACATCACCTAAGTGACAATTTATTAACTGCTTGACCAAGATGAAAAGAGGCAGTCATTTCTTGGAAGCTTACAAAGTTCATTAAACTAGCAGCAACTACAGTTTCCAAATTTATCTGTCAAAAAGTTAGCTGTTGATTTGGAAGAAAGCACAAACGAGAAAATTCTTTGCAACTAACCTATTACTGTCTCAACCATATAATCAGCTTTTTGTAACAAATTCCTCTATTTCAATCAAGTGGCTATTCAGAACTGCAAACAGTCGTTGTTCTGCTTCTTTAAAGCACTCTAACATCCTACTGCTCTCGGTTTTCACCTTAGAAGACTACACAGAACATGTACATTCTTCCTGCTTTTGTTGCACAACTAAATTACAGAAAAGACCAGCCCTAGTGGATTTTATCAATCAACAGAACATTATTCTTTGTAAGCTACAAAAAACACTCTGTCCTATATACTGGCACTATGGAGGTCCCAGTACAATCCCTGGAAGGAGAACAAACTCTCTGTGGCATGCTCAGTACAGTAGACGGATTTCCCCCTTCCTGTGCTCTTCCAGCTGTGATAAACAAACACCAAAGCAAAGTCACACTCAAGAAAAAAGAAAATAGAACACAGTAGAATTCAACATTAATAATAAATCAAAAAGCTGTTCCAGTGTTACAGCAGACAAACCACGTATCACTAAGGACAGCTTGTTTTCTGAAAAAAAAAAAACAAAACAAACACTTAATGCCACATCTTAAGAAGCAGTGCCTGGGATTCCAACAGTCTGCAGCTTTCCCTTTGTCTTTTTTTATCTGTTGATGCAAGGTTCATTCAAAATAACCAATGAACATATGTCTAGAATGATTTCAAGGTTCATTTTGTAGTCACATAAACACAGTAAGGTAGCACAGCAAGTTTTAAAATCACTTCAAGAATTCGTGCAATGGAAGTCTTCAATGTGCTACCAAAATAAAATGTTATTTGATACCAGGTATGACATCACTGTCCTGTGATCCCTCATTTTATAAAAAGTAATTTAAAATTACAAGCGGTATTTATAGAGCTAGCCCAGCATTTACAGTAAGTACTGTGCATGACATCAGAATCTCTAGAAACATTTGGAGCAAGCCAAGAAAGTGCGGAAAAAATACGACTCCTCTAGTGTTATTCAGTGGCTAAATTTAGCTTAGTGAAGACTATCTTCCTCTGAAGTCAGTGGGAGGAGAGTGTCACCTTTAGAGCAGTGGTTCACAGTAAGGGAAGAGCATGAATCTTCTCTGCCCAACACAGGAGGTATTGGGCATCCTGCAAAGACAGCCTGGAGTGGAGGGGAGGACACAACAGACTCTTCCCCCAAAATGTCGCCCCTTTCCCAGGCTAGGCTCGAATTTGAACATGCCAGCATGCTTTGGAGAAAAGTAAACATATCCTGCCTCCATTTCCCTTTGTCTGGACAGGTATTTCGGGCAGAACCACCTGACAGCATGCAAGGCTAATTACCTCTCCCCAGACCCTAATGGGAGATTTTCGTATGGTATAGAGCTCCAAATTCTTGTGTTCCCACTGGATCCAGCCATATCTTCTCCCTCATCTTAGCAAAGCCTAAGGCAAGATTCAAGAGAAAGAGGATGTCAAAGACCTGGAGACTAAGCTGGCATTACCCTGGCAGGACAACAGTTAAAGGCTTCCAGAAGAGACAGAAGGGCTGGGGCAGGGGAAGTGACAAGCGTGGGAGGGGAGGCATGATCCTGCTGCACTAGGACACAAAACATGCTCTTGGGGACGTTTAGGTGTATATTAAGCACATTATCCCATTTGTCTCATGCAAATTTACACGCAGTATGTGCCAGACTCACAGACCCTTTACAGGAGAAAAAAAAAAGAAAGAGAAAAAAAAAGGAGCATGACCATCTATGCAATCCAGAGGGCAGCAGAGAACAACCTTACACAGCCTGCCCCACCCCCACCCCTATCTACTGCCTGCTTGAGTTTATGAAGATTAATGAATGTGACCATCTATGGTTTGGGGCTATGCCTTGTATATACTTTTATCATTTAATATCCCTACCTCTTCAGTTGCATGAAAGCATGACAGCCTATGTTTCTGGAGCTTGGGGTTTTTTGGGGGAGGTGAGGGGAGGTTTGTATTCCAAATATCACTTAGAGTGAAGGGACACCCTTTATCACTCACCCTTATGTGACTTGACAACAACATAAAATTTTTTTTCAATTATTTACATACAGGCATCAACATCTTATACAAGTTAATAAGGGTGGGAACTTGTGGGGTTTTTTCTGTCTGATATTGTGACATGAAATTTTGGCTTGCTTTATGAACATAAGGGTACCAGAAGCAAAACAGTTTTCTAACTTTCAGTAACAAATTTCTATGTGTTTTTTCCCTTGTACAGTTTTCCAGTAGATGTCTGTAAATTGAAGGTTCTAGGGCTTGGCTAGAACACATTGAAATTTCCCATGAAGAACAGACTGTAGATAGAAAAAACACTAACATTTTGGTTTGGATTAAAGTCAACTGGAATTAATTTATTTACTTTGTCTAGTATTGGTTACTGCCCATACTCAGAAATACTTGTCCAGATAATTATTTGTTTATGCATTTCTTCACAGTTTTTCACTGTACATTGAGTTTTGCGAGCTATAGGAATTCTGCACACAACTAGATGTATGTTTTCTAAAACATGTAAAAGTACTACAGGTTTTTGTTGCAGCCTTATGGATCTGTTGGAAATGAAGGGTTGTAACAGCTTATGGTTAAGCATGGCATTGGTAAGAATTTCAGAGAGGAAACAAGCAAGCAAACAAAAATTCTTGCAGATATCTGGAAGGAAGATGACAGAGCAGCAAGTTTTTTTTTTTTCTAAAGGCTGCTTCATTTTAAAAATAATTATACAGCTGCTGGCATACAATTTGTGAATTCTGCCACTCTACCTGTCACTTCCAAGTTTATAATCACTTACTGCACACTTCAGCAAGACATCAAAAGCAAGGATTTTTACCAATAAAACTAAACACTCTTTGACCCAATGCCTGCTTTTAATACATATATTCTAGATATACTGTCATCTTCCAGAGTTACTGTAGTGCTTGCCCCTCTCATACTGGTACTGCTAATCCACATGCATCTTGGTCCAGAGTTCATCTTTCAATACCAGTTCCACAAATGTTACAGGAAAAAGTAGAAGGATGAACATTTGGGTTTTTTTATCCCCCCTCCTCTTTCTCAGTACTCTCATTCAGGAAAAGACTTTCAAATTTTTTATATTAAAACCTCTCAACTCTTGCCTCAGAGTCCAGGGTACTGTTACTCAAATGGCAGAACTTGTCTGATCTCCTGTTATTTCCTTGCCCTATCTCGCTGTTCGGTTAAACCTCACAAAAGCAAAAGCTTACATTCATTTTAATTCCCTAAATCCTTTTCTTTCAGTCCTCATTTCAGCTACCAAAGAATGCCAATAGTCACTTGGCAATCCTCAAACCAGATCATACCTACATCTTGTCACTTCCCTATAAGGAAGAGAATATATTTAATACTCCAGCTTTTCTTCATAGCTGCATTGCTTGCTTCAGATCTTGCTCCTAGCCCCCTGTTACATCCTATTCTGATGGTATTGCTGTAAATATTATCCTGTCTCATCACTTCAGCAGATACATCCTGAGACAAATTTCCCTTCAGAAAGAAATTATTTTCTTTCATGCCTTAATTATCTTTTTTTGATGTTATTTCCAAGGTAAAAGCCTCAACAACAGTCCAAAACAGCACTAGGTAATTAATTTCAAACCTGTCTCTACCAGAGCACCTTGACAGTAAAGTCACTTAACAGTAGCAAGACAACAATCATTCTAAGAATACTGCCTGTGAACTTGAGGTGATCTTAATTTAAACCTTGTACTATTTTGCAGTATTTATAAGACATGCTCTCTGTCCTTTTCATTAGCGCATACAGAATTAATGACAAACTCTCCCGTGATTAATTTGTATACTTAGTTGGATTTTACAACCCATTTGTGATCAAAGAGTCTCAATTTCCAGAAAAAAAAAAGTATCACTGCTTAGGGAGATTAAAGCTGGTATTTTCACCATGTTTGCATCACATCCATTTTTCCCCACAATGTTAGAAGACGACATGGGTTTGAAGTAGCAAAACTTGGAAAGGAGGGCACAAAAACCCAGAAGCACTGCAAATTACTGGGCAAAAAGAAATGGAGATGTAGGATTGTGCAATTCACTCAAGTACTTAACAATACTTGAGTCTGAACTAACATCTAGATCTTACTGTCCAGGCAGCGTCTATGAGTCAGTTATTGTATCTGCATCTACAAACAGAATGGTGTTTTTGAAAACAAGATACCATGAAGAGTTGAGCCATTTAATGCAGACATCAAGATCTACAGTAGAAAATATCTTTTAGTCTTGCATAATCAACAGTTTCAAACAGCGAGGCTTAGCATTAAATGGCCTTCTCCATGCTGACACTTAAAGTAGCTCTGAAGGAAATTAACTTCTGAAGACCATCCTAACTGTATATAGTATGATATTTAAAGTCATATTATAAATTAGAAAAAACAAAGCAAACTGCTGGGTTTTATTGGCTGAACTAATCCTTTAAACATCGAGGCTCTGAATGACATGCACTCCACTGATAAGAGTCCCTGTATCTGAAACTTTATTTACATTATTTTCACAATTTATTGGCTTCAAAATATCTTAAAAACAGTACTATGTTTATCTTGGGCCAGTGCCTATGAGATTTATCTTTGCTGTCATAAATTTCCAAGTGCAAGTTTGATTACACATATTAATCAAATACCAGAAATATTTCTGTTCAATTTTTTAAACAAATCTTATTAATTTACTTTCAACTTTTACCTTAAGAGCACAGAAGATGCAAGAATCACCCATACATTTGTGTGTTGTGATTTGCCGGAAACTGCGGCGAAAAATGTCCAGATGCCACAGAACCTGCAACACAAAAAGGGGCACAGACAATTTCATGAATATATAAAATAAAATACTGCATAAAGCTCTGATCAAAATCACACATTAAATAATCCCAGAAGCACACAAAGGTCAGTGAACATCACTCTTAAAACAGGATGCCTTGTATCTAACTGCAAGTTGACATTTTCATCTTTCTTCCTCAGCTGTAGCATTCACATGTGTTAATTTACAGTGGGAATTCCCTCTGCATTTCTTGTCATGTGCTTTTAGGTTAAGAAACAACCACTGTGCAGTCACACCATGAGGGTGAGCAGAGCTGCCAAGGACAACCCACCAACCACTGGGGCTGAAACTCATCCATCATTCCATCTCCTAGGCAGCCTCCTTGTTCTGAGCAAGAAGCCCAACCACTGAAAAAATTGAGCACTGACAGCATATACATTAACAAAGTCAAAACGATAAATTACTAAAAGCTGTTATGCCAAATATTCTCATTAGTAAGTGTATTTACATGCCATGATTCCTGTCAGATTTCTAACCCTAACCTGTGTGGGCAGCTATTGTTTTTGCCCAGGACAGGTATGGTGGCAATACCGGGTATACTACGAGGTGTGGTCACAGCATAGGAAAGCAAATAGGCTTTTATGTGTTCTGTTAGCAACAGCAAGAGGCAACGTCTGCTGTAACAGCACCAAGTTTTATTCTTAAGTTGCACTGTTAAATTTGTGCAATCTTGGACAACTATCTAAAATCCATACCTATAAAATAGTAACAATTGTGATCTCCAAGGTGTTTCACAGGCAGCTCTTTATACATAAGTGTGGTTGGCACTGGCTATTTCAGCTTCAACAATAACTGGACTTTCTTGTAAGCCTCAGAGCCACAGGCCTTTCAGGAGACAGAAGCTTGCACTGAAAGAAGCCCTGACCTAAATCACATTCTGCCAGGTTCCGGGCAGAGCAGCAAGTCCAGCTTGGCATCTGACTGTCTAAATGCTTCATTAGCATAAACAGAAAAACCAAACATCTTATTTCTGATTAATTTATCCAGAGCAACTATCTGGCAAAAATTTAGCACTCAGAAGAGCTGTGCTGGTTTCAAGCAGTGTTTTCAGCTGGAACAATACGTTAACTAAACCACAGCACACAAATGTTACCTAAAATTATATTTAAAAATACATTTATTGAATATTTAATCTGTAAAGCTTCCCAGAACTTCAGAATTGTCATGGCTATGTTTATACTCAAACTTTCCTTATACTTAAGGGCCTTGGAGGCAGCATAAGCCTTGGAACCATCTGATTACACACAACATTCCTCGAGAACTACACCAGACTTCACAAATGGACAAAAAATAAATCATTTAGGAATGACTCCAATTTTTTGATATAACTGCCTTTGGAACTTATCTTTAGTGTTTGTAGAAATACTCTAACAGTAAGGAGCAATGAGCATTCAAGGGCCTCTCGGCCTAACACTGAATGCTAAAAAAAATTAAGACAACCCCTCCGAGAAGTACATATTTTATGAAATGATTACTGACTGACTTGCTGGATTTTAAACTCAGCTTTGACTGTAAATACATCTGTATCCTCTCTCTCTTGAGCTTTAGCAGAAAACAGTTTGTGCAGAACACGAAAGGCCAGGTTGAACACTTTCATCTTCTTGCATGGCACGCAGCCGGCGCGCGGCTCTACCAAGTGCTGACCTGGCTTCATAACTCAGTATTGGGAGGCAGACAGTGATTACACCTTACAACTTAACAGAAGGAACTGATATAGTACAACACAGAATAACAAAAAGTGGAGTTTCCAAAGTCCTCTTTGTACCTAGTGTGGCATATTAAGGCTATTGAGGGTCATTGCTGTTTCTATTTGTATTACTTGCATCGGGGCATATCTTGATACCTAATCATGCCCACAGAAAAAAAACCAAAACACCACAGTGACAGTCTGTGCTACACAGACAAGTCATATGAAGGGAGGGAAACAGATGTGGAGAAAAGGTTTTAAACCCTGCAGCCAGAAGGACTGAATCTCAAATGTCAGACATTTAAAACATCTAAATGGTGACAATAGCACTACAGCATCCATATCACTTTGCTAAATTTTGACACAGAAAAATGTTTCCCTCTAAATCACAAGGTAAAGACTCAATCATCTAAACTAAACTAAGCAACAAATCAGCAGTTAAAAAGAAGACTAGACTACATAAAAAGGATCTTGTATAAGTATTATCAAAACTTAAGCTTGACTGGTTCAACAAAAAAAATTAAGTATACTTTTAAGGAGTGGACATACTTCAAGCTATGCAATAGTCTGTTATTTTAAAATAGATTTTCTACATGTATTTTCAAGTTTGGTTGACATACTACAAGTTATTACTACCAAGAGATTCAATTAGACTAAGTGATGACTGTGTAAACACTGTTGATATAAACAAGAAAATCTGAAAATTAAAGAAACATGTTCTGTAACTCAACTAATCTGCATTTCCAAACGCAGCTTTATTCCATCTAGGCTCACAAACATTTATGTAGTCAAGCCTTGCTATATTTACTGCACAGTCAAGTCTAAGGAAATACTACAACAGACAGAGAACAAAGAAACATCTTTTATTCTGTGATCTTACCTGCAGCGCACTATTCAGGAAGCAACTATTCTGTCCTGGTTCATTGCTGAGACCTTTGCTGGGTGCTATTGAGGTTGTATTTCGAGGGGTGAACATGCCCTGTACATTTCCACGACCCACAGAAAAGTAATTTCTTTTCCAAGACATCTTCCAGTTTCAGCTGTAGAATACACAGGTTTAGTCTGGCAATATTTGATGTGATCAGACTATTCCCTTCTTTCACCAGAATTCAAAACTGGAACAACATCATAGCTTCTTTAAATTGTAGTTTAAATAGAATTTATCCTTTCATCAGGACACAACAGTTCACTTCTTTTAAATCCAGCCCAGGATGCTATTCTTCATTTGATGCTTATGTATGCAAAACCCTCCTTCACAAGCAGCCACAGACAAAGTTTGCAAAGGGAAGGAATCCATGGTTGTGCAAGTTCATGTGTTATGCTGCTTCTCCTTCTTCCAAAGGGGCAGTTACTTCAGGGAACAAATGGGAAATCAAGGAGGTCCCAGAATCAAGGCAAAAAAACCAACAGCTACCTCCCACACTCCCAAAACCCCAGCTTCTCTAATCCTTTTATAATCCTCCTGCAGAAGACGGGAAAAATCCAATTAGTAAGGAAGCAGAGAAATCAAAACCAAAATTAAACCTTGGCAGCTCCCTTTCAGTTAGGTCTGTCTTGGGTGATGAAAGAGACATCATCCTTACAGTGGAAAAAGGAGCAACTCCTGGACTTGAGAGGGAAGAGCTTTAAAGCAGCAGAAAGTCTCCAACGCAGTGCTTCTAACTCTGCAGGCAATCTTTAGAAGTTTCTTCTCCTGATCCTCCTTTTGCAATCAGGATGCCCAGCCGTGCCAGAAAGCTTGAGAGAGAAAAATAATCAAAGGCTTGCGTCATTTAATTACTCTCTTAGTTTTGTAGTGTTCTGCCAAGACCAGTGTTGCCTCACCTCCCACAATACACTGAATTTTCTGAGACAAAGCAAAAAATATAAACCTTCCTCCATCCAAAAAAATAATGTGGAAAAGAACAGAAAATTCCAAGAAAAGTATGTAAGAGCAAAAGGGCTAGAGTATGTTGGAAGGGTTAAGAAGGAAAATAGATCAAAGAAATAAAACACAGCATTCATGTGAACTCCATGGCAGTTTTCATACACATCTTTTACAATCCTGAAGTGTTAGGTTTCTCTAAGATCTTAATCATTCAAACAGTAGTATGAGGATTTGTGATTCTGTGAATACATGATAGCACATTGTCCACCCTAGAACTGGGATTTTGTCATTTCCCTTGGAAGGCAGGGGAGAACCTTGTCTTCTCTAACTCAGCAGCTCACAGCTCTCTTCAGAACAAACCAGCCTCCAAATTTTCTCAGTCAGAAACTATGTATCTCTATAAAAGTTACTTAATATACATATATGGGATACACAATGTCTTCCAAAACATATTAATGCTTCTGAAGAAGCCAGAAGAATCTTTCAACAGAAAACTGCTCTTCCCACCACAAGTTCACTTTTTCCCTCATCTCATAGGAAATGTAAAAAAGTTTAATCCAAGAAACACCTAGAAACAGGGACTCCTGGTAAAACATTGTTTAAAATTCTCACAAACGTAGCTCACCCACATTCACTTCACAGACAATTGCATAATATTTTTCAGGGACACTTCTAATGATATTTAGGATTTTTCAATTTTATAT